AAAGGGAAATAAAAAGAAGTTAAAAAAAAAGAAAGAAAGATGGACCAAAGGGCTTCAGAGTGTTATATAACTGTAACTGCTGATAACTTGCCTACACAAGTCTACAGTGTGCACTCACTCTGTGAGGGCACAGCGGTGCGTTGAACTAAATACTAATGTCAGGCCATATGCAATCACAGTATACACTATAACAGCATAGTGAGTAACTTTAAGTATAGTAAGTAAAATAACTTTCCCAGGTCATCAAATACAGAAGCTGAGATGAGACTCAACAATCAACTATCTTGGACAAAAAAATTTGTGATACATGATATTATTGTGATAATCATTAAAATATACGTAATACTTTCAAAATGGCACTAAAACATACTGGAGTCACTTAACCTTACATTTTGTTAAGAAACACATATTTATTGCATCACAGACAGAATCTCATTATTATTATTATTATTATTTTGGAATCTATACTATTTCCACACATCCAGTTTAATGTTTTTTGTGGGGGATACAACGGGTGAGCTGAGCCTTCAGACATGGTGACAGGATTAGGATTTTGGAGTGACTAGAAAGATGCTGGCTCCCGCTTGTCCCTTTGTTAAAAAAAAAAAATGGAAATCAATCTAGGACTGTATGCTGGAGAGAAAAACAGCTTTGCGGCTGTGGCTCAGAGATAGAGCGGGTACTAATCGGAAGGTTGACGGTTTGATTTGGCTCCTCTCGCTGCACGAGAGTGTCCTCAAGTGTCCTTGAGCAAGCTATACATACAATAATACATCGCATTGAGTGCTTGAATGCTTGAAAGACTAGAAAGGAACTATATAACTATATAAATGTACCATTTTTCAAGTCAAGCCATGTAAGGATATTCACAGTTATCCCTAAAATGGAAAGTCTGTGTTTTTATTGTGATACGCCATAATATTGTATGTCATCCCATCCCTACTAACTATAGAGATGAAGTATATCTGGGCGTTGCTTAAAAACGGACATGGGTGGGACTTACCTGAAGTTGTTCATTTTAGCCTAAAATTGCTGCAGGTTGATATATAAGTTGCTATATTTATTAAAAAACTATCCACAGAACAAGTTCAGAATTGAGCTTCAGAGCAACTATCTACAGTAGTTTTGTGTTCATTATAAAACAGATATTGACACATTTTACTCTGATAATACTAAAACATTATTATTATTATCTTTACCAGGTACTCGTTTCAGCTGAGTAATCGCTCAACCCAAGCTTACTAACTGCAATTTATGTAGTTACAGCACCTTAAACATACGCAGACATGTTGAATAGAGATTAGGTAGGTGTCTGCTGCTAACCCTTTTACTGTAGCTCAAATCAAATCCAAATGGAAATGGTAGCAAGGAGGTTTAGAAGAGAGATGGGTAAATAAGATGATTCAGCAATATGGGATGATATGACTCAAAGATGTGATGAATCATATGGTTAGACCCTAATATTCAAAGGTTGTGGGTGTGAAAATGGTATACCTCACCTGTCTGTTGAGCTTGACAGCCAGGATGTTGTTGGGGTAGCTGTAGTTGCAGATCTCCGTCCCCTTCTTGAAGTGGTAGATGTTCATGCGCTGTGGCATGGCGGTGCTCACCACGACTACCAGACTGCTAGAGAAGAGACGCTCCACGATGTAGACATCTGGAGTCTCTGCTGGGGGAAAACAGGAAGCAGACAGACGGGCAGTGGTGAGGACACCACTTTAGGACACCCAGAGACAGACATTAAAATACCAAAACCTACCCTTGAAAGAGATACAGACACTGTAACCGCTTTAATTTCACACTATATTCTTTATATTCTTTATCTGTGGCTACACATTTTGACCAATAAAGGCAGGTCTGAATTAGAGGCCTGGTCTGGATTTGTAAAAGTTCTTTGGATAGATAAAACCTCTTAAACCCCACCTGGTCGCCCGCTTGAGTGAGTTCTACGCTGCTTAGATAACCTACACAAATGTAAATGTTAAAACATTTGTCAATATGGCCATGCTACACATTGATCAGTCAGATTCTCCACAGCTCAATCCTCCAGCTCATTTTACAGAAACCATGAGCACCAAAGTGTTAAATGATCAAATGAGTGATACCTTATTCATATGTTATTCAATAGAAGTAATATTCATACTGCTTTAAAAAAATCTATCTGATAGTAATTTCCATCTTTGCTGAACAAGAGTTTTGTACAAAAGGAATTAAAGGCCTGTTCCAGATAAAGGCATGTTGGGTTCAGTGATTGAAGCAAATACAACTCCGGGCCATTAATTGAAGTTTTACAGTATACTAAATCAAATAAACTGCATTATATGTAGAGCCTGACCAATATCAGCACACAGGCATGGGACGATTTTAAGTCACAGTTATCTTGGCTGAATTAATGTGGTTATTGATATTACCATGATACTCATCAAGATATACTTAAAACTCCTAAAATGGCACTCAAGGAGGATATTCACAATGATCACAATAATGGAAATTCACCATAATAATGGTAATGTTTTTTATTGCGATATCATTCCATCCCTATCAGCAGGGCTAATGTTATCAACTGTTTTAAGCTTACCAAAGATCAGTGCCTGAAATGGGCAAGTAGTAGTACAAGAGTACCAGCACTTCTTACTGAGTGCTATCTCTAGTGAGTGTGGCACCAAGGTCTGGACCTCAGTATTTGTCCGAGTGGTAAACAATAAAAGTTGTGAAATAATTGCCAAAAATAACTACTTTGATACTGTGATGCAAGCCCCCTAGCCACTCAGCAAGTTCAGCTTTTGCATGGACGCTGTACTTCTAAAACCCTGTGTACAACAATGGTGGTGAGTAACTGTGTCTCCATGTAAATACAGCTAGCTTAATGCTAAGAAAACAGCACTGAAAATGAAAAAGAATTAGGGTAAATAAGGAACCATGCCATGATATATATGCTCCACAACGTGAAACTCTCACAGCTAATCTCCACATGTCAGGCTGACTTAACCAGACCACGTCAGACAGCACACCAGACTGGACCTGACACTGCAGACTATAGACCAAACACAGCCGTTCTGGGGAAACTCTCTTCTTCTTCACTGCCGTGGGAAGCTCCTGCCAAGAGCCACGAGCACTGTGTAATTACAGTAAGTTGGGCCTTGTCTTCCAGTCACGGAAACCCCAAATCGACCCAGTGAGTACTGTGATGTGGAGACAGGCAAGCTTCCCTGAGGTCAGAGATAATCACCGCCTCTGTTTACAGGCACAGAGAATTCCCTTCCCTTCATTATTCACTGTGGGCCAACACACATACATCATAATTATGTTGAGCTCATATTGTGATGAGGTCGTATATTTAGCAGGAACCTGGTTCAAATGTCTGGCGTCCTCCCACATTTAACTGGTGGCTAAGGTTGTGTTTCCATCATGTTGTGGGAATGTTCGCACAATATATTCTCAAAAACTGTTTTTTTGACAATACTTGCTGACAAACACTCATATAATATACCAGTTAGGTCTAATATTGACACATTTAACCCCAGTTTTATTCCTCTTTGTTTTATGATGCAGCTACCAGGATATTTGGTCATTTTAATCAATTTCCAGATGTTTCCATGACTGGAAAACTAGGCTCTAAATTTCCAGGTTTTCCAGGACATGTGGGAACCCTGTTTCTACCTAACAAAGTCAGGTCACCCTGATTCTGTTTGACCTGAATGGAACAGAACCTGCAAATATTACATTGAATATTTGATACAAAATTCACTACATTTTAGTTTTTGTTTTCCTCACAACACTATGGGTATTTTTGATGTCAAGAAAAACTAATATCTAGTATTAGTATAGAGATAATTTATTTCCTTTGTGTCAGCAGTTAGCTACTGTTGTGCAGTAAAAGACTGAGGGGGAATGAACAGTTGAAACTCGTAGCAGGAGACAGACCTAAGCAAAAACAGCCAATAAGAGTATGAAGAATAGACAGATTGTGCACTGTGGGTAAATGTAACTCAGTGTTTCTTTTAGGGAAACCTGAGGAACGCGACATGGCCAAACATGTGAGCTCATCAGCAGCAGACGGCTCACTCTGGGACAGACTGACTAACAAAACAGCTCAGTTTACATGGATGCTTTCATACTGTTTGTCCTGTAATGAATGAAACTCCACCAGGGACACATGGATGCTGGTGTTCATGCTGCATCATAAAGTGGGACAGATTACGAGGTAAGCTCAGTAAATTGTCGGTCAAATATAATCATATAACACATCATATGTGTTATATGATTAGCCAGCATGTGTTAATAAATTTACACTAAGAATAGAATAAATATTGGCAAATCATTTATTTATTTTATTTTTCACTTTTTATTATTTCTCTCTTTCTCAATACACGCAATATAAACATTTCCATTTTGTTCATTATCATTGTTCTACTTATTGCTGATGGTGATAATCAAATTATTGTTATTAGTATTATTGTTATATTACATGGTTATTATTATTATATAAAACATATTACTATTATCCCACACTTACAATACAAAACAAATGTGTACCTGTTCTAACTGCAGTAACTGCTATCTCACCGTTGAATTTCGTATGAATTTCCTCTTCTTTTTGTGTTTCATATATGTACCACGTTACGTTATTTGTTTTCTTGTTTTTGTGTATTTTATTCCTGTTTAGCATTGTTCTGTATCTGTACAGTCACTATTGTTTAACATTTGTTTTTGCACAAAAAAACAAACAAAACCTTTTACACTGAAATGTGGTTGCTCCATACTGACCACTCTCATGGATACAGTCCAGTTTTTCCACCATGGTCAGAGAGAACAGCTTGTAGCCAGTCTTTGTTCCCAAAGCCAGGGACCTGCAACGCACACACACACACACGCACACACACACGCGCA